GCCATGGCACTTGGAGGAGAATTCAAGAGTGGGTGGCGTCATGTTGCCTGGTCGATCTCGGACGTCGTCGACTGGTCTTGGGTGGCTGCGTCCACCGGCACACCCTCCTCCGACAACCCAAACACATGGGTGTCAAGGTGCTGTGCTCGGTGTGTGGTGCGGTGCGTGTTTAGGAAAACTAGCAATCGCCCACCTCTCTATCCAACTTGTGCAAACACCCCCACCCTGCATACCCGTGGAGTTGCGGCTGCGCACACCTCCACTTGTTGTCGAACTCCATCAGCGGATTGTCCGGCGCATTCGACTCGCTGATCGCTAGCACTTGGGTGCCGTCGTCCAACGGCACACTGGCCTCATCGGACAACCCGACGACGATGTCCGGTTCGCATGAGTGGGTGGGTGTATGACGCGCACACTCGATCGTTCCTCATTCTCCGTGTCGGGCCGGCCGCTTGGAGGCGTCATACTGACGGCACGGATGACTTGGTCTGGTCGTGCTGGTACGAACTTCGTCAAGCTCAGTCACGACGTGGGACGGAAATGTCGATTTTGTAACGGAATTTTCATCTCCTGTTTCATTCCGCGTGAATTTTAAAATCCATTTTGCCCATTCATGACATGACTGCACGATGTGATGTTACGTTCTGTGGCAATTTATATGAAGGTGCTGTCTTCCATACAAAAACGAATGGCATGGACACGGAAGGTAACGAAACGATTGAGGAGGTGCAGGCGTTGACATGTTCGGTAGCTGTCGCGCTCGGTATGGCTCCGTGGACGGCGGTTGCTCGGAGTCGGCCCTTAAAATTCTGGAATGTAAGGTCGAAAACCCATCTCGGATGCACTGCGGTGGTGTTTAGCGCACATGCGACTTTTAGCCAATCATGCCGTGGTGGACGACTTGGGATAAAAATACTTTCCGAACGCTCAACTTCGACGATTTTGCGAAATCTTTCGACTTGTTGATTAATACTACGTAGTACAGTGATACCTCACATTTTGCACCATCTCCAAAATATAAATTCTAACAGACGGATGGAAACCCAAAGAAAACGCAAACATAAATTTATAAAGTGATCTTAGTTGAGCAATCGTGCAATTGAATGGCCAGAGCTGGTCTGAAGCGACTGTGCTTCTCGGGAGACGATACCAGTATGGCTCCAACAGTTTCGGATCGTGGATGTTGTGACGCACTCCCACGCATGGAGCGACCACTGCATCGCTGTCAGTACGTCGACGGCGTACAAGTTTTTGCGCTTCGCTTCGATGACGTCGGTGGAATTCTCCAACAGATCAATCACGTGATCCATTTGACATCTCTTGTAGTGCTTCTTGAACGACGCGATGATCCCGGCATCCATCGGTTGGAGGAAGGCGGTCGTGTTGGGAGGCAGCATTAGCAGCCGAACATTGGTAAGACTAACGTCCAATGGATCATGCGATGACGCATTGTCCAGGATCAGCAAGACCTCGCGGCTTTCGGCAGCCATTCGTGAATTGAAG